GTATATAGTAGAACTCCCATATCTGTAGATTCAGTTTCCAAGGTTTCAGGAATCCACGGTTTACTGTGGCCTGAAAATAACCCTGAATTTTGCTTAATATTGGCCCCAAAGCACAAAAGTAGTGATGGTGGCAGTTCTTCAAAGCCTAAGAGAAGCAGTGAAGTGCTTCCCACCAGTGAAAAAATGCTAATTCTTGACTTAATACACAAGAAAAACAATCACATGGTGAGGTGGCTAAGATGTGTGGCAAGAATGAATCTTCCATTAACAAAGTATAATAGTGTACGATGTATTTTATTATTTTTTAATGTTGTAATGTCTTATTGTGCATAATTTATCAATTAAACTTTATAATAGGTATGTATGTAAACAAAAAACAACACATATATAGGGTTCGCTACTATCCATGGTTTTGTGCATCCACACTAAGTCTTGGACCGTATTACCTGCAGATATGGGAGGACTTATGTAACTGCCACTATCAAATATTTCCAGCAAATAATGGAAAAATATGAGCTTTGAGACAGAAAATTAAGCACATACACTTTTTTATTGAGGCTAAAATTTAAAATGATTATAGAGTAAAAAAAAAAATGTTGCATAATTGGTCAGCAGAGAACATTCCCGCAAATTAAACATTTTAAGAAAGAGCGGTCAGCAGAGTTTTCCTGCCATGTTACTCTCTCTCTCTCTTTTCCAAGGTTACTTGTCAAGCTTCAGCAGTATCCTTAGTCTCAGAACCCTTGTTAACACTGACTACTGACAAGCAACCTATCAAATACAAAATCTGAGGGAGACATATCTTCCTAATGAAAATGTGGAATTTTTCACTATGTATTACAATAGTATTTTGAAAAAAAAAATCCTGAATTGAAAACTTAAGCACTTACTCATATTCAGAAAATTTTAAATTAAATTTTTTTTTTAATTTAAATTATGAATTTTTACACTGATTTAAATTTGGGAGAATTGCATCTGAAAGAGATTAGTTTAGTAACTTCAAAATGATGCTGGGTATAGAAATCAAACTTTAGCAATATAAACACAAATGCAGTATAATGTGATCCTTTATTGACTACGTTTCGCCCACACAGTGGGCTTTTTCAAGTCACAAACAGAACTACCTGGGGTGGAAGGAACGCGAGTATTTATAGTCCGGCTGAGGTCAGGTGAAGAATGCTGCATCTGATGATGTACCGAGTTGGGTTGTAGAGTTTAAAAACTTGGGTAGCTTGGAAAGGAGACTGGACAAGTTTGTGAGCAGACCTTCTACAGTGTTCTTATGTGGGATAGCGATGAAGAAGTTTCTTGGCAAGTGGTTCAGCTATGTTATAGAAGCCACTATTCTGGTTGAAGTTGTGGATATAGAAATAAGTGATGATTCCAGGATTCTTCGGTATTGAGTGTTGTCTTCTGTGGCGATAAGTCTTGAGTTTCTGTAGTTTATCAAGTGGTTGTGTGAATTACGGTGTTGTACGCAGGCATTCCTTGTGTCGTCAGACCTGCTTGCGTATTGGTGTTCTGAAATACGTGTTTGGAGGTCCCTTGATGTTTCGCCCACGTATAACTTGTTGCAGTCATTACAAGGGATTATGTATACCCCTGCAGAGGATGGAGGCTTGTCCTGCCTACTACTGGTGATGTCCTTGATGGTCGTGGTTGGGGGGGTAGATACTTGGAATGATGTTTTGGCAAAGATTTTGGGAAAAACATTTTTGGAAAATGGATTTGGTGGGAAGGACTATTACTCTTCTGGCAGTTTTCTCGGGGTGTTTTAAAGTTTTAGTGCTCCCCGTCGCAGTCCTGATAAAGGACGAGGATAGTGGAGTTTGGAAATCCCCTTTTAAATTAAGTGATTTTTCCTCAAGGAACTCGTGCTGCAGATTCTGATGCACGCAGGAAGAACCCTATAATTACACCACTTTTGGGTTTTTGGTGTCTGGTGAGAGTAGAAGGGAGAAGATTTTTGGTTGGTGGGTTTTCGATAGACTTTAAACGAAGTTCGTGGTAGTTTTGCAAGTAGAACTCGGGGAAAGGAAAGTGTTTTGTCGACCTCTTCTTCAAGTGTGAACGGGATTGAAGGCTCGACCTGGTTGACTTGTTTTGGAGACTTAAACGTTGAAGCGTTTAGGAGTTTGGGAAAAATGTCGTAAAACATAACGGAGAGGTGACAGACAAAGGAATAATGGGGAGAAACTTGGGCTTCTAATTTTTCCATGTATGGTTCGCTGGACTGCACTGAGGGGCAAACCCCCGGGTACCCAAAAAGTCGCTGAAAGGGTGATTTTCAAAAAGAAACGAAAAAGCCAACACATAGTTAAACCCAGGCGAAAACGCGGGGCTGGAAGGGGAAGATCAAGTAAATCGTCAATTTTTTTGGCAAGAGATCGTGGCTTGTTTAGTAGGTACTTTAGTGAATGGGAAGTCCGTAAGGCTGGAAAGTTTTTGTCCTGATGTTATGTTGCGAATGCGATTGAGAAGATCACTGATGTTTAGATGTCTGGATGATAGTGCCAAGATTTCGGGGGAGGTTTTTGGGCGAGAATTCCTGAGAGCTTGTGGGGAGCATCCCTTTCCCCGAGGAATGGGCCTCGTGGGAACCAGGCTTGTGAGTTTTTGGGAGGCCGTACATTCTGGCAGGTCTGGGGTTGCTGGGCTGGTGTGCAGAAGTTTTTCCCTTGTTCTGAGCTCCTCAGAATGCGGGATCCTTTGAAAAAAGTTTTAGAAAGGGGTTGCCCCTTTGGTTTTATTTTTGGAGGGGGTTTGTGGGGTACTGGATCATTAAGTGATTGAGCATTTTGTTTCCGTAACGTCAGTTTAGAAAAAAATTAATGATCCGATCCCTAAAAACCTCTCAAAAACTAACCAAGTGGAAACCTTACAAAAATTTTCTTCAAGGACTCCCCGCTTCGAGGAGCCAGAACAAGGGAGAAATTTCTGCACACCATGCCCGCACCCCCAACTGCCAGAATGTACGGCCGCCAAAGACTCCCCAAGCCTGGGATCCCCCTGAGGCCCTTCCTCGGGAATGGCAGTGCTCCCCCCAAGCTCCAGGGAAATTTTCGCCAAAAACCCCTCGAAACTCTGGGCATACAGTCCAGACATCTCAAAAACTAGGTGATTTCTAACGCTTCGCAACTCAACACAGGAACAAGAAACTTTCCACCTTGACGTGACTTCCCCATTCCTAAAGTACCACTAAAAAGCCATCGATCTCTTGCGCAAGAAAAATTTACTTCACTTGATCTTCCCCTTCCAGCCAGCGACTTTATCACCTGGGTTTAACTATTGTTTGGGGTTTACGTGTTTTCTTTTGAAAATCACCTCTTTTAGCGATTTTGGACACCCCTGGGTTTGCCACTCATGCATTCAGCGAAACCTATACATGGACTCTAGAACCCAAGTTTCTCCCATTATTCCTTCGCTGTCACTGGCTCCGTTATGTTGAGACATTTCCTCATAACTCCAAACGCTTCAACGTTCAAGCTCTCCAAAAAAGCTCAACCAGGTCGAGCCTTCAACCCCTTCACACTTGAAAAAGAGGTGAAACATCTTCCTTTCCTGGGTGTTCTACTCGCAAAACTACCACGAACCGTTTTAAATCTATCGAAAACCCCCCAACCAAAAGATCTTCTCCACTTCTACTCTCACCACGAACCAAAACCCAAAAGTGGTGTAAATTTTTGGCTTCTTCCTGCGGCACTCAGAAACTGCAGCCACGAGTTCCTTGAGGAAGAATGCACTATAATTGAAAAGGTATTTTCCCAAAACCCCCCTTCCCATCACTTTTATCAGAGACTCAGACGGGAGCACTTTAAAAATCTTAACACACCCAGAGAAGACACTGCCCCAGAAGGAAATAGTCCCTTCCCACCAACTCCATTGCCAAAAATGTTTAACTCTTTTTCCAAAACATCATTCCAAAGATCTACCCCACAACCACGACCATCAAGGCATCACAGTAGTGGGGACAAGCCTCCATCCCCTGCAGGGGGGTACAAAACCTTTAAAGACTGCAAAAAATTTACGTGGGCGAAAATAAGGGCCCCAAACACGTATTTTAGAACACCAATACGCAAGCAGGTTGCGACACAAAGGGAAAGCCGGTAAACCCGTAATTCACACAACCACTTGATAAACTACGAAAATCAAGACAAATCGCACAGGGAAGCAAAACCTCATTACGAAGAATCTGGAATCATCACTTATTTCTTTCCGACAACTTCAAAACCGTGTTTGGGTTTATAACAAGCGAACCACTTGCAAGAAACTTTTTCACGCTTCCACATAAGAACCTTAGAAAGGGTTTCTCACAAACTTGTCCAGCTCCCTTTCCAAACTACCCCAAATTTTTAAAATCTCAACCCAAAATCGGTACATCATAGTGGCATTCTTCACCCGACCTCACCGGACTATAAATACTCGCGTTCTTCCCCCCAGGTAGTTCTGTTTGTGACTTGAAAAAGCCCACTGTTGGGCGAAACGTAGTCAATAAAGGATCACATTTCTGCATTTGGTTTAATTGCCATTGTGTCGGTATTTTATAATTTTTTTCCTCAAAAAATTGGGGCATGCAGGTTTTGATTTAGAAACTACCTTTATGTCAGGGCTACTATTTATTTGGGGGCATGCAGACTGACTGACAAATACCCCTTGCCAAATTCAGCTTATAACATGCAGACTGTGACTTACAAACTACCTTAGCCGGATTAAGCTTTTAAAACACAGGCTGTGACTGGAGACACCCTCTATGCCAGGGTATGGCTTGGACAGCAGGTTCTAAATACAAACTACTACAAAGAGGCCAGGGGAAACTACTCCCACACCAGTTGTACCTAATACAAATTTCTATATTAATCTATTTCTATCAGCTTCACTTCTTTTACATCTACAGTACATGGACACAAAGAGGTGCTGGTATTTATGGAGAGTCTGATGGGTTCTAGAGCAAGCCAAATTCTTCACAGATCCATGGATATGTGCATTTTCGAAGTCCTCACCTCAAAGACAGGGTTCCTCTCAGGCAAGTGAGTTTCTGTGATACTGGTCATATCTGACCAGCCTGCTCTTCCAGAATTTGCGATCTCAGTTGTTTCTGGCAGCGGGCCGTAACGAATAGTTCCAAAAATGTGGCTTTCTTCGCTAGTGATGCGGCTCCCATCACTGGAGAAAAATGTTATAAATTTGTCTAAAGATACTGAACTGTGATGCCATGCATCAGTAAGTCCATCTCTTTAATATGTAAGACAGTGGCACCAGTCACGTGACAACATATTGTGATGCAACAAATTAAAAATTAAAGCATATTAAAGGCTTAATAGTGCTATATGAAGTGAGGAATCTTGCTTTTGTATACTTGAAATTTCTCTTGTTTATGACTTGGTTTCAGTAATAACTCTTTCTTATGGGAAATAGAGAACTTCACATTATTTAGTTCTTCATGTAACCTCTGCAGGTTTGCAACAAATATCTAAACTGTGATAAAAGCAAAATGCTGAATTGTAGACCCTTAAGGTTCTAGCACCTCCCTATGAATATATTAATAAAGACAAGTGGAACATATCTATTTTAATGGGAGAAGCAAATTACATTATATATCTTCTGACCTATGGTGGGTGACTCTGCCAAAAACATGTTGCCTCTCTTCATCAATGTCCTTCTCTGGAAGATGATTGGTAGTTCCATAAAAGTCCCTTTCCTGATCCCATCCAGTGTGTGTGTGGTAACCTTTCTCACTGTGGAGGGGCCAACCAGAGTGCTTGACAGTGCCGTAGATATATTCCTGCTCGGGTTTACGGGTGTGAGTGTTGGAGTGCCAATATGTGGGGTCAAAAGTGTTAGTTGCCTCACTGCTTGTCATCTCAACAGTGTGCATGTTTTTGCTGGAAGCCTATGCAGGGGTTATAAAGGAGAAACCTTAGTTAATAAAGCAGATGCTACTTGCTTTTATTTATAAAAAATGTAGATGTAACAGATATGAAAATGTATAGAGCAACTATGTTAGCAAAAAATGACTATGCTATTGCCAAAACTGTATCCAGTAAAGAACAATGAAGACAGCTTTCCAGTAAGCCATGTTTGTCTTTATACAAAATGTAGCATAACATGCAAAACTGACACATACCAGTTAGTGAGATCTAACAGAGGTAGACCCTGACTTATGAAAGCTTGAGTTATGATGATATATAGTTACAGATGAGGTTCAAAATGCATATAAAGATTTCCCTTCCAGGATGATTAATTAAGTGGTTGCCTGAATATTTTTATCCTCCTCCAGAGTTTCATTTATTTTTCACTCATTGCATGAGAAAGACTCATTCGCTTGGTTCTGAATTTTCAATGCTGGTGTATAGTAACTAGGGCACAATTCTTGGAACAACTGGCATGTGCAGATGCCCCATGACCAAAATCTGTAGAAGGCATTTAAAGATTCCTAAACTCTTGTGGGTGTAGCATTTAGTAATGATTATAATTACATAATTGAAGATTCCTTGAATGGTTGTTATAACTTCCAAAACCCTCTGTTGCTTGGCTTCAAATGTTCAAAAAAGGTGCTTTCTAATTTGGTAAACGGGAAGAGTGGAAGCCAAGTGTGTCATCACACATCTGACAACTTTGTTTGTAAAATAGTGTGAGACACTTATTCCCGTTGAATCACATTAAGTATATTTCAGTCTACCTCTCTTGAATGGCTTCAATATTTAACAGCTGATGCATTTTATGGCCAGGTGCCAGATCAACCAAGCTGTGATGGATATATGGATCAGCAGACCATCAGCAGCAACAGCCTGGTTGACCAGGCTAGCATAAGACTTTTTTCAGATCACACGGTGACTGAAGTACATCAGGTTGTTTATTGAGTGCTATGCTGCAGTCACAAACATGTTGAACACACAGTTTTCCTTTGTACTATAGTTTTATACGGGATGCTCATTCATAAGTTCGGATCTCTCTGTACCCAATACGTTAGTTTTTGACTTCTTCCTACCAGCATGTAGAATAGAAAAAAAAATTGCATAACCTTACACAGTGAATAGAACAAAACTGCAGAAACCTTACATAGTGAATAGGAACAAAATTGCGTAACCTTACATAGTAAATAGGAGCAAAATCGCATAACCTTACACAGTGAATCAGAAAAACTGCTTATTTCATTACCTTAAATGGTCCTTCACCTAGTGTGCCTGAGCTCGAGGGAAAGGTTAATATAGGCCTAAATGTGGTGTGCATCGTCCATGATGTTTTGTTGTCGCTCGGCGACCAGTTACTCTCCCAGTTACCTTTACGGCGACGGCCTCCGCGCCCTTTATTCTTCAAGGTTTTGCTCCTTCTTCGTCCCTTGCGACGGCGGCCTCCGTTGCCTTGCAACTTGGTGGATTTGTTAGGCAACCATTCTATAAAATAAATATATAAAATAAAAGCACTGTACTACAGTAGTATATGGCACTTTATGACTCTTGTAGGTTTAGCGCTACTTTTTTATTATAAGAATAATAATACAGTAGTGCAGTACAAGAGTTTGTTATGTAGTATAACAATTATGTATAATACTACCAAAAGTTATATGTACATGATATGCTGGAAAGTGTAATATAGATACTGTAGAGATGTTTGATTGTACTGTCAACATCCTTTACGATAGCTGCCTTGGTGCTGGTGATGAAGGGCTCGTGATCCAAGAATTGGAGCTATCCTCCCTTTTCTCAGATCAAACTTGATTACATTCCATCTCTCAGATGGTGTATGCACGTATTTGTGGTTGCTGGGATCGATTCATAGCTCCTGATCACTATGGGTTAATAGTGTTTCCCCATGAATATACTGTAAGGTATAAACATTATTACAGTAATGACTCACTTGGCAACAGTTCACTTTGTATAAATGAGATCCATAATAAAGGATACATAGGGAAGAACAGTTCAGCTTAACAGTGACCTGAGTTAATGTCATCACAGCTTCATTACCTACTTGAAACAATTCACATTTGTCAGAGTTTTACCAAATACAGACCACCACACATGCACCATGTAATCACATACACAAAAAACAATGCACTTGATAAAAATTAATAATTTTGTACCAGTTTCCCCTCAAGGAAGGTTCCTTGATGTTGGTGAGGGGCTCTTGATTTAGGGAATTGGATCTGTGCTCCAGTTCCCCGAATTAAGCCTGAATGCCTTCCACATCCCCCCCCCAGGCGCTGTATAATCCTCTGGGTTTAGCGCTTCCCCCTTGATTATAATAATAATAATAATAATTGTACCAGTTTCCAAATAAAAATGAACAGACGATATACAAACAGGATCCGGGAGAGACAGAAGGAGCTAAATGTAATTAATGAAATTGAAAGAAATTCAAAATATTTCCTTTCATGTGCCAAAAACAAGGCAAAAACCTCACCCAACATCAGCTCTTGCTCAAATAAGATGGAACTTACACAGACGACAGCAAATAAATGAGTGAGATACTGAAGTCTTAGTATGACTCTGTATTTGGCGAGTCACTTATCAGACTAAAGATCAAAAAGCTTAAGTTCAATTTTACCAAAGAAATTAAGCCTACTACACTTGCACCTTCAGATGAAATGCAGAAATCTTTCCCTGCCTTCCAAGCTTCAGTAATGTACCATGTGGACTTCATCTTATCCTCTTTCTGGAGGAAGTTTCACTGATTTATCACTTTGAAGTGGAGCCATTTAGTCTTACGTTAGGCTTAAGAGAACCCAAAACACTCTGCACAACCAGGGACCATCTGCATGTACAACCAAACATCACCCAGTTCTGTACAAACATTGTATCGTGTGGAAATAAACCTTTGAATCTGAGTAAATTTTGGAATGTGACATGTCAAACACATCTCACAGAGACCTCCATTTCGCATCTCTGAATATTTTTGACTGATCTGTTGATTTTTGATATTGAAAAAATTTTAAATGTGTATTTTAAAGAAGGACTCTTAAATTTGGTCCCACTCTATTACCCCAAGAATTTTTTTTAAGCTGATTTTGGGTTTCAGGGCAGAATGAGTTTAGATTAAGTAAAAATAATGATCTTTTTGTAGTTTTTTTATGACTGATATATTTTTGTAATCAAATACTTTTTACACATCAAATACCTTTTTTTTTTTTTTAAGATGAATACTTGTTTGTAAGATCAATGCTTTTATTTAAAATCAAGGCTATTGTTAAATCCAATACTTTTGTTTTTTTACATTTACCTCTAGTTACAAAGTGCTGTATGGCCCTTAAGGATTTAGTGCTTTCTAGACTAAAATAAAAGTACAGTACTTGATATTCTGTTACTTTTAGTTTTCTCATTAAATTGATATTTCATGAAATTAGGCTACAAAAATTATATTTACCATAGCCACGGAGAGTGCCGGTGGTGTCTTCGAAGTTGTGAAGACTGACTTCATTAACTGAGCTGCCAGACGACTGATGAAGCTCCTCTGAAGACGGGTAGCTTGAAGGTAGCGGCTTCACCTCCAGGGTAATGTTGGCTTCTGAGGTGTTTGCTGAAGGGAAGGCAAGCAAGCAGTTACTAATGTTCTAATTTATTACACTGAACAATTCTTTCATTGTATATTGTTACTGTCCTTGTCATCATTCCTTCAACTTGTGTACCTGGCTTCATCCTCAAAATATTGATAATTATGAAAAAATACCACAGTAAAAATAGGAAATATAACCAGAGTGCTTTCGTGTGCTTGCACACACATCCTCCTATTCCTCCGAAGACGTGTGTGTGTGTGTGTGTGTGTGTAAGCACACGAAAGTGCTTGGGTTGTATTTCCCATTTTCACTGTGGTATTTCTTCTTATTTGCAATCATGCATTTTATTGTGATTTCTTCCATATCAGCAATTAGTGTTAGTGTTAGTGTGACTATTCAATGGTCCAAGTCAGACCGACACATCATCATCAGCTTCTTTCTATGTGTGGGTTATTTGTATAGAATTTTTTTATTGAATTACTAAATACCTCCAATATAATTAAAACTATATATTCTTATTCTACTAGTAATCATAATTTAGTATTATGGCTGGCCAAAATGCCTTGTATAATAAAGGCCTTTCTATAAAGTAGTTTATATATGTCAATCACCCTAACTGTATAATTTACTATACTCCACTTTGTAGAAATAAAGTCCGTTAAGAAGAGCAAGTCGAGCCTGGCCTATGGCCGGGCTCCGGAGTAGAAAAACTCTGACAACTCATCCAAGTACGCTCTCACTGTCATTCTCATCATTTCTCTTTAACATCATTTTCGTCTACACCTGCAGTAATATTTAAAAATAATACTTTGGAACACCCAAACTTTCAAGAAATTCACAAAAAATTCATTTTGTGGCTTATGCATAATTTTCCAATAGGTGGAGTGTATAATGGCTCTTCTTTCTCTCTGCCTCAGACCGTCCGTCCTGTAGAACTTGCACAGTATTCAATATTACAAATGTTTTCCCAGACTCAAAAAATGAAGGATATCCATTAACTTGCTCTTATAATTTGCCTGCTGATCTTTTTTAAATGCCCATCAGAAAAATGAAAAATATTTCCTAAAAATTAAAAAAAACTGCTAGTTAAGTTATTTACCTCACATTTACTGGGATATATTCTTGAAAAGTGACCTTGACTCTACCTTTACAAGTGATCTTGGACATACCTTTACAAGTGATCTTGGACATACCTTTACAAGTGATCTTGGCCATACCTTTACAAGTGATCTTGGACATACCTTTACAAGTGATCTTGGACATACCTTTACAAGTGATCTTGGACATACCTTTACAAGTGATCTTGGCCATACCTTTACAAGTGATCTTGGACATACCTTTACAAGTGATCTTGGACATACCTTTACAAGTGATCTTGGACATACCTTTACAAGTGATCTTGGCCATACCTTTACAAGTGATCTTGGACATACCTTTACAAGTGATCTTGGCCATACCTTTACAAGTGATCTTGGACATACCTTTACAAGTGATCTTGGACATACCTTTACAAGTGATCTTGGACATACCTTTACAAGTGACCTTGACTCTACCTTTACAAGTGATCTTGGCCATACCTTTACAAGTGATCTTGGACATACCTTTACAAGTGATCTTGGACATACCTTTACAAGTGATCTTGGACATACCTTTACAAGTGATCTTGGACATACCTTTACAAGTGATCTTGGACATACCTTTACAAGTGATCTTGGACATACCTCTACAAATATAAACTCCAGCATGTGGATACTGCACTTCCTTGATCTTGAGAACACCATTATTGTTGGTTCTGATGGGGCCTCTCTTGCCCACCTGGTGACCCTCGTACCACCAGGTGATCTTGGAACGGTCGAAGCGTCGTACAGGACACTTCACCTTGACTTTCACTCCTCGGAACACTGTAGCTGTCCCACCAACCTGTCCCAAAAGTTCGAGCAATCAGATTGCAAGCTATTGTTTATCTTAAAGAAAGGAATAATAGAAGAGTATGGTTATTTGTCTTTAATATCTTTTTTTTTTGCTTCACATGAGGAATACCCTTTGTTTTGGCTATACATTAAGAAAAAATCTTGTCTTCCCACAAGTGTGTTCTGTAGCTCGGTTGGAAGTGCACTCAGCTCACACAGTGAGTGCCCGTGGTTCAAGTCCGGTATGGGTGGAAACACTGGGCATGTTTTCTTAAGACACCGTCTGGCCCTGTTCATCTAGCAGTAAGTAGGCACCTGGGTGTTAGGTGACTGGTGTGGGTCACATCCTGGGGGACAAAATTAACCCAAGTTGTCCGAAATGCTCTACATAACCAGGGGCTTTCTATATAGTATGTCACTGATGTCATCTATGTCTGTATAAGTTGTATCATGTAGTACTTGTAAAAATAAAGATTATTATTGTATTATTATTATTATTATTATTAGTGTGGTTTGAAGTTATTCTTAAGAAATGCTTAATTATAAGCCTTATTATTAGCTGCAGAAAATACACTGCATAGTTAGTGGCATTCTTTTGTGCCTACTATTTTACTCATGTACGCATATACATTATCTGTATGCTCAAAGAAATTGAGTATTATCGTAACCTTCCAGAATGCGACCCATAATGGTCGATTAACACCCAAGTACAGTATCTACTTACTGCTAGGTGAATAGGGACACCAGGTGTAAGGAAACATGCCCAACTTTTCCACCCGTGCCCAGGATCGAGCCACAGACACTCAGTGTGTGAGCTGAGTGCACTGCTAACCGAGCCACAGTTATGTTACTTGTTTATTCTTAACATAGACTCTCACAAAGAAGAGGCAAAATGCCAACACAAGTTCAATGTGGTGGTGGTGGTTTTTGTTGCATGTCATATGCCTCCATTTTCATATTCAAAGATATAATGTGCCATAATTGTTAAGAGACAAAAAAAATATTCTTTGCTTATTGCCAATTTTCTTACCTTGAGAGTAAGTCTTTTCATGAACTTGCTTTGAACATAATTTTGATGAACCTGAGATTTAATAATAGAATTTTTTGGTTCTTTTCTCTCTCCTTGGCAACCCCTCTGGTTGCACTTCCGGAAAGAGCGTGGCTGGCGGTGAGGACATTCTCGGTTGGGTCTCTCTTCTATCCGGCCATTGGCCAGAGCCTGGTGGCACCGCACTTCCCGTCTCTTCCCTCCACCACCACACGGTGCTGAACACTACAAAAACAAATTAATGTAAGGCTTATAATAACGAAATATTAGACATTGCTTTCAGATCTCTCGTTTACGTATTGTATTCTCGTATACGTTTACTCTTTAAAACTCCTAAAGAGTTGCAGGAAGACATAAGTGAAGAACAATCACACAAGAGGAACAATCATATTGTATGTCAGGATGTTAAGAGAGATGGCAAATTAATGAAACGGGTGTTAAAAAGAGATGGCAGATCAATAAAAATTTAACAAAACATACAGCATTCCATTAGTGTAAAAAATTCCGTTGGTCACAGTAGTAGAAAATTGAGAGGTAGAACTACCATTAGCAAATTTTAAAAACCTTTACTAAATACTGAAGATGGATCTCCATGAGGTTAGCTTCTCTATAGAATACAAGTTGATATAGTGTGAGTGTGTGTGTAACAGACAAGGAAAGAGAAGCCAGACTACACTTACCTTGGACCATCTGCTTGGTACCCACTCAGGGGGACAGTCCATGAAGTTGCAGTGTTGTTGTGTGCGATGTGGTGGTTGTGGACAGAGGCTGTCGGGTACCTCTACAGTATTAGTCCCGCCTCGAGTCACCTCATGGATACACTTCACCTCCCGCGTCTGTCAAATTGAACACTCAAATCACTATGAAATCCAGTTTGTACAGTATACTGTTTGCACATAACCATTACTGTGTGTAAATGGCTTGAATCTAGCAGAGAAACAGAGACATGGATAACATTAATGGCACTTCAATTATTATTATAAAAATCACAACTAAGTGCTAAACCCACAAGGGTCATATAGTGCTGTGCTAGCACTTCAAGACTATGGTATTGCTTTTCAAGGGTGATGCCCTGATAGTGGTGAAGGGTTATGGATCATAAGTGTATTCATTGTAAACTCCTAAATTTACACTTATACTCACCCAAATGTCTGTATGTATAAAATTACTCATTATTATATTGCCTTATTACTCTTAAGTTTGCCTGAAATGTTCTGCATATAAAGGGTCTTTCTGCATGTACACCCAAATGTAATTCACCTTTGTACAAACTTTTTATCATGCTGAAATAAACTATTATTATTATTATTGCAGGTTTAGTGTTACCCCTTTGATTATTATAATAATAACATGAATCCACAGAACTGGAGCGACCCTTCCCCGCTTTGAATCAAAATTTATTACCTCCTATTCCCCGGGTGTTTCATGACCCCCTGAGTCTGAGACTTTTCCATACAGTGTTACCCCACTAGCACTGTATGACCTCATTCTGGTTTAGTGCTTTGTTGTGCATACAAGAAAATAGTAATGATAATGAAACCGAGTATGAAGAGCTTATATTATTTTATCCCCTCAAGGGAGGTTTCTTGATGCCAGTGAGGGCTCTTGATCTGGGAAACTGAACCTGACTTTCCTTTCCTTGGACTGAAACTCAATGCCTCCCATTCCCCAGGTGCTGCATGACTTCTGAGTTTAGCACTTCCTCAATTATTGTACTGGTAATAATAATAACTGACTTATAAACCTCACAACACCAAACTCTTACTTGTATTCCTCCTCCACATGTCTTGCTGCACTCTCCAAATTCTGATATATTCCAGCGTGGAGGACAGCGCGACTGGTCATTGCTTGGGCAGGGGTAATGATGTCCTTATCAGCCGTAACAACGTACTACACGGTGGTATATTACTGGTATGCCTGTCTGATTTTCTGACACACTTTACCATAGACTCCTTGCCACTCCACCTGAAATTGTACCACCATCAAATGTTGTCAAGCATTGTTTGCCATAGTGAAACTGAAATATATGACTTAAAAATAGAGGAAAGGGCTCACTTTATACCTAACTCATTACAATAATTGCGTAACAAAACTGCTTGTACACTTGTATTTGTTATGATGGTACAATATCTTAATTATTATAATCAAGTTACGTGCTTAAACCTGTAAGAGTACCAAAGTACTGTGCACAATATTCTAAAGGAGAAATAGTCTTAGTAGCAGGTACTCGCCAGGCTCCACAAACGTAGATGTGCCATAGAAATGGCATAGTCTTTGGATGCACTGGAAAGGAACAGGCAAAAAGCAGACGCTGTTTACACCAATTTTCCACTAAAGCTTTTGAGACAAAGTGTGGTCAACATGTATGAGTGAGCATACCAAAATGTATTTCAGAAGGAATAACTGGGAGACTGGCCGGATATGGATGTTTAGTTTTAATAAATTGCATCCAAAGAGTAATAGTTAGAAAAAAGTATAATGATAGCATTCCACAGGTGAAAAAAGTTTTCTGTTAACTCAAGGTATCAGTACTTTGTCCCTGTTTCTTCCTCATCTCATATCCAACTACACAGATAAATCTCATCACTGTATCATCCTCTGCCCTGATGATTACTACAATTTGTATGCAAAGAAAGCATCAATGAGGAAACTAAGCAAATTCTGCAAGCTGATATAAACTAATCTACTCACGTGAGGCCAAGCTAAACAATATGATTGTTCAGTGGGAAACAATATTTCAGTTACTCTGAAGTGGAAACAATTGGAGAGAATAAATAATTGCGAATGAAACCAAAACAAATTTAATGAACTCAATGAAATGGATAAGAAGGGGGATGTGCAGAGACTTGGAGTAGAAAATTGTAAAAAAAAGAGTTTACTTTAACGGGATAAAAAATGTTATTTATTAACTGCATAAAGGAAAAATGATAGAGATGGATAATTAAATACCATTCAAAGCACAGGATGCCAAGCCATATTAGTCTGTTAATAATATTCATCTGTAAAATGTTTCTCCAGGCTAATACTGCTACAGATAAAACGTCCCCTTTCGACATGAGCAAAACTGCCAGATTACAGAACGTACAAACAACCGTCATGCCTCGTATAAATTCAGTCAATTACCTAAATTATTAGGAATGTTTGAAGGCCCTTGAACTGTACCTCCTGGAATGTAAACAAATAAGATTCATCATAATTTACACCAGGAAAATTCTGGAGGGATTGGTTCCATATCTGCATACTGAAATCACTCCCTACAAGAGCAGGAGCCTCCACACACAGTGCAAAATACCCCCAATGAAAAACAGGGGTGCCATGAGTACACTAAGAGGAGAATAAAGGAAGTTTCAACAGGCTACCTTCATACATAAGGGCACGATTACCAGCAGATAAGCTGCTGTCATTCAAGAAGAAAATTTCGATAAGTTCCTAAAGTTAGTTCCCTAACCTGCCAGGCTGTGAGGCACTACTTTGGAGCTTCGCAGCCAGCACTGTGGACCCCATGCAAAAGATCTAATGATAAAAAGATAGTCTAATAACAATTTGGCTTTTATTGGGTTATCCTGGGTATTAACCCATCGAGTTCAGGTCTTGGTGTGAGGGACCAAACAGCAGGAAACCAGTGACAAGAATGAATTCAGGGTAAACTATTTAATAAGGCTAAAGCGGTTCTTTGAGGCATTTTATGCGAATTTGGAATAAAAAAAAGGCGTTTGCCAGGGTGAGAATAAGGGGGGCAATGTGGGCAGATGTTGCAGGTGTATGGTGTAGGAGGTAGGTTACTGAAAGCACGTGCAAGAGTTTTTACGACGGATAGTGAGGGCTCAAGTTTAGAGTATGTAGTAATAGGTCGCGGAAATTATTTCACCAGTTAAAAGTAGGCCTTAGACAGGATGTGTGATGTCACCGTGGTTGTTTAATTATTTTTATAGATGGGGTTGTAAGAGAAGTATATGCGAGGGTCTGTGCAAAGAACGCCGTTGGAGTTAAAAGATAAAGAATCGCACATAAAGTTGGAGGTTGTCACAGTTGCTCTTGCTGTGACACTCTTGCTCTTTGGAGAGATTCTGAAGAGAAGTTGCAGAGCAGTAATTGGTGGATAAAGTGAGGCCGTTTTAGGGTATGCAAATAGAAGCCAAAATAAGATGGTTGAATACAGGGAAAAGAGGAAGGGTATGAGGGATAACAAAAAGATTTGTGTGATGTAAAGATTGGAATATCAGATTGGAGGAGATGAGGGTATGGAGGAGCGTCGAATGTATGCAGATTTTGGGAGTGGACGTGTCAGCAGATGGGTCTATGAAAGTTGAGCTGATTCATAGAATTGATGAGGGGGAAAAGGGCTGCTGAGTGAGCGAGTGGTGCTACTTAGGAGTCTGTGGAGACAAAGAAACTGTGTCCTTGGAGGGCGAAGGGCGGAATGTAGATGAGAGTATAGTTTATCCACGCTCTTCTATGTGTTTTGTGGGAGGTTTTGTTAATGGGTGATGAATGTGCAGCGAGGAGGTAGCGGCCTGGTGGCAAGTGGTGATTGTTCATGTCTAGTGCGGCAAATGTGTGTGGTGTGAATATAGAGAGCAGAGAATTGCGATAGTTCTGGGAAGTTTAGGAGGAGGTGTCGGGTATTACCAAAACTTGTTGTCCAGAGGGTCATCTGAGAGGAAGGGTTGTTGAGGTGGGTTCGGGACATGTAGGAGAGAATGGCAGCGAAACATGAATGTCTTCATGAGTGTATCAGTCTGTAGTGGAGGACGGCGGGGGTAGGGGGTAGGCCTAGGACAAGGTTGGAGGGGATGGGGATAAAGGAGGTTTTGTGTGCGTAGGGGGCTTGGACTTCCAGCAGGCATGCTGGTGAGCGTGTTTGATAGGAGTGATGGAGACAACATGGTTTTTTTTTAAAGACTTGACGTGCTGTTGGAGGTGTGAGCAAAGTAACATTGTTATGAAGGGTGTGCAGGGAAACGGCAGGCCGGGACTTGCAGGCCGCTGAGATGGGACAGTACAGTGCCTGCACTCATGAAGGCAGGGGTGTTAATGTATGCAGTTTAAAAACTGTAGTGTGAAAGCACCTTCTCGGCAAGGACAGTGATGGAGTGGAAATGATGGTGAAGTAATTTTTCTTTTTTTGGGCCACCCATGCCTTGGGTGGGAATCGGCCAGTGTGATAATAAAAAAAATAATAAAATAAAAATACGTTTTTCCTTGGATGTCAGAACAGTTGTTGTATAACGCGCGCCCTTACATGTTCTTAGCACTTTCCCATGAAATGTAACATAATTAAGAAATGTATCAGTGATTAAAACCTGGAGATACTGTACACAGTATATTAAAGCCATGGAGTAATAAGAATATTATTACATGTAAAACCTTATAACAGCAATATTTTTCTCAAGTTACACAAGGAATAAATTAGTGGGTATGAATCCCTGTAGACTATATTTTTATTTTAGTGCAGTAAATTGCCTTACTGAAATAATGACCTTCCCAAGCATGAAGCACTAGGGACCAAAGCCCAAGAGTGGTCCCCTGGTAGGTTTTTGGGGAATGTTTGTTTTGCCTCAATCTGGTAAGACCCGGGGTTCCCCCCACCTCCACCCTTCAATTTTAATGGAATTCATCTCTGCTGCTCGGACCCAAATTTAGCTTTCTGCGACTAAAATTTCATCATCTGGTTTATGGAGCATCAAAAAACACTAGCATAACGCAGCAGGGGATCGCGGGGAGGTTGTAGATCAGTGGGGGTTTTAAAAGGGGGGGAGACCCGGGTGGGGCTCATTGTAGCCTGAGCTTTAGGCACGTAAGTCTATATCTTGCAAAACCAAAAATCTTGCTCTTCCAAAAAGGGTGATCCTCATCCACTACTTGGGCAGGAATGGTTCTCATGATTTTTTGGTCACCCCTTTGAATCGCCTCATCATGGGATTTTAGACAACAAAGGGATTTTTCTGGCGGGGGGCACTCCCCCTCGCTTGCGGGATATTCGTGCCTAAAAATTAAAGTCTGCATTATTTTACGTTTTGGTAAATATTGAAAATAAGGTTCAATGCCTTGTATCAATGCCTTGCTTTAAGATATACAACAGAAAACTGAATGAATCGCACTACTTTGTGCTCACATAAACTGGTACAATAAGCGAGTTTATTTAGGTATAGGTACACACAAATACAGTCATACAAATTATCATACATAATGACATGTGTAAATTACACTCGGCTCACACACTGAGTGTCTGTGGTTCGATCCCAGGCAAGGGTGGAGACACTGGGTGTATTTCCTTAAACCTGTTGTCCCTGTTCACCTAGCGAGCAAGTAGGTACCTGGGTGTTAGTCAACTGGTGTGGGTTTCATCCTGGGGACAAGATTGAGGACACCAACAGAAATAAGATACAGTCCCTTGATAAAGCACTGATTTTATTTGGTTATCCTGGGTGGCTAACCCTCCTGAGTTAAAATTCCAAACAAAATCTTAACTTAATTAAGTCCCAGGTACTTGGTCACTTGTAGGAATAGCACCTTAAGTAAGGGAGGGAGGAGGAAGTTTGAAAGACAGAGAACAGCAAAACAACCCACTGAAAATAAGCCACTCTCCCTTTCCTTAGATCAAACCTAATTACCACCCATTTCTGCTTTGAAATTGGGTTCATTTTGAAACACCCTGTATTATTATTATTATTACTACATTATAATTATTACATTATTAGTAAGTAAGTAAGTTTATTCAGGTATACACAAATACAGTTACATAGAATTATCATACATAGCAGCATATGTGTAGAGAACCTAGGATAACCCAAAAAAGTCAGACAGAGTGACTTATTTCCATTGGGGTCCTTTACATTTCCATTGGGGTCCGAATCCTCCGGGTTTAGCGCTTCCCCCTTGATTGTAAATAATAATAATAATCCATTGGGGTCCTTTTATTTCCATTGGGGTCCTTTATTACTATTATTATTATTCTAAATGCTGTGCATACTATGAGCTCTTCAAATAATTTTACTTATAGTTGAAAATTGAATTTCGATTGCCTGAAATGCTCATGCATGTTAGATCAATTTTTATTAACGATAGGTATTTTATTTTAGTCGGCCCTGAAATTAATCGTTTTCTCTAACGCATAAAGATTTAGAGAAAACGTAGTACAGGACGGGTAACTATTATATTTATGTAAAATAAATACATATATTCTTCAAAAGATCTTTGATGCTGGTTGGGGGGCTTTTGATCTAGGGAATTTGATCTGTGCTTCACTTCCCTGAATTAAGCCTGAATGCCTTCCATTCTTCCCCTCGGGCGCTGTTATAATCCCTACGGGTTTAGTGCTCCCCACGTACGGGTTATTCAGCTTAGTTCGCTGGAACAGCGGTTGGCTCACAGTCGAAGTTAATTTCATATGTTCATTATGCACCCCATACCCATCCTGTGGGCGATAGTCAAAAGATTACAGAGGTACATAATGGGCCCCAGGGACGGGGCCCCCCAAAATTTTGATAGTGAGAAAGGGTTACAAAGGTAATGAACTCCAGGTAGATCGGGGTCCAAAAATCATGACAAGTTCCCAAAGCCACACCCAAAAAAGGCCCCTGGTTTTAAATTTTTCCCCCCTCCCCATGTTCACTATAGTAAAAAGGGTTTGCCAAGGTATTGGATATATTTTAAGTTAAATTTCCCGGGGGTTACCCTGGGGTTTTTTTCCCACGAATGATACATTGCCCCAAATGATGGTTATCATGTATGATAAGGCTACCCCCGATGGAAAATTTAAATTGCTTCCCCATGGAAAAATTTTTATTAATAAAGAAGCCTTGCCCAATAAGGTAGGTACGTCGTTTTGGGGTGCTTTTAACACTGCTAGGGGCCCCAGTGGCCTGGTGGGGTAAAGCTCCCGCCTTTCCCCACGGAGGGGCCCGGGGGTTTGATTCCAGGCGGGTGGGGAAAAATTTCGATAAGTTTCCCTTTCACCTGTTGTCCTGTTACCTAGCAAACAAATAGGTAAACCCGGGTGTTTGTTTTGACTGGTGGTTTGGGGCGCATCCTTTTGGGGGGCAAAAATTTAGAAACCCCCAAAGGGAAAAAGTTAGGGCAGTTTCCCCGATGAGCCCTGACCCTTTTTTTGGTTATCCCGGGTGGCTAACCCTTCCCGGGGGTTTAAAAACCCGAACGAAATTTTATCTTATCTTATTATTAAAAATTGGGGGGAACCCTGAAGGGGCCCCTTCATCCCCAAAAACTAGAATTCCCCCCCACTTCGTTGGATTGAAAATTTCTACCCCAAATCCCCCCAGGCTCTTTCGGTTTTACAGCTTCCCGATAAAAATTTAAAAATAATTTTAGGGGAAAAAATGTGGAAATATAAACACAAGGGGTTATTTAAAGTGATCTTTTTTTGACAACGTTTCGCCCACACCCGTGGGGGTTTTTTAAAGTCACAAAAAGATCTGATTGGATTTTATACCCCCTTTTTAATTTTTCAATCTGTCAGACACTGCAACACAAGGGTATCTTGGTACAGACCC